TACATTTCACATTTGTAATTTAGAAGTGGGGTTAGCAATACTTTTGATCTGGGGTTATGAAACCCTGCTTGTACAGTGTGAAACAATGCAGTGTAAGAATGTTTCAGTTAGAGGCTTAGCAACTGTCAATCAATTGTGTGCCTCACATTCACATGCTTTGGACAGTTATGGAAATATTGTGTGTTAAACAGTCTTTTTGGCATTTGAGGGGAAAACTGTTAAATAGTGAGAGAATGGTGAGTGTATTGGAGTGAAGAAGAGACTATTTCATTCTTTTCTTTACAGTCAGAAAAGTCCATTATGGAAAACTTGATAGTACAGTCAGGCAGTATATGAGGATGTGCAATGCTAGAACATTTTATGTAAACATGTTGTGTGCTGTGTTCGTCCAATCAATCACACTGACAACACAAATATGCAAATAAGATTTAAGAAGTTAAGAAGTTAACTTGGGGTTTAGGAATGTACATTGTCAGCTTATGAATGCCCATGATTTATTGTTAACCCAGGGTAAGTTATGTGCAATGTGAAATATGACGTAAGACAAACCTGGATTCCTTTTACCGGGGTTTAGAATTACGGGTTAACTTTAGGTGTAAAAAAGCCCTGTTGATTCATTTCATTTGTCCAGTTGAAGTCTGAAAGGCTGTCAGGGCTCAGTAAGCATAAAGACTACCATTCTGGATAAAACATGTATATCAGACAAATGACTCCAGAGGATACCACAGACACCGGCAGATGGGAGAACGGATGAGAAGGAAGTAGAACATGAGGTGACATGGTAGAACAAGCTCCACCATGGGTTATCATGATAGCAGAGGCTGCTGACATTGGTTAATCCTATACCATCCACTGGCTGGAAATTGGAGGACAGAGGGGAAACGACAGAAACACTAATCTGGCAGCAGAGACACAAGCATTAAGTGCCAGCTAAGGTACAGACTGTACAAGCAGTCTGAGACAATGCAGCACCTAATAACAGAGAAAGAAACAGAGAGGAAAAGCCTACAATAAAAGGCACACACCTGTGTTAAGTATTGGCGACATCCAACCTACACTGAAAAAAAATGGTAACATCGAAATTAATCTCTTCTTTAAGTAATAGCAGGTTACCACTTTTTGCAATGTGTGTAAAATGCAAGACTCAGAAACCTTTTGACATGGTAGAATGTATAGTTTGTAAGTAAAAACACTGCACCAATCACAGTTAAGTTTCACCCAAACTGTAAGAATATCTTCATGAGATCCCAGAAAACCTATATCCAGTGCAGTCACGGGAATCACCAAAATATTGTGCTTAATCCTAAAAACCCAAGGTTCTCTTTCTTGTCTTTGTTTACCATCCTCACAGTTCCCTGACTGAACACAGACCTCTGTTGTTTCAGAGAGGCTGTTAGTGATCTGCTCTGACAATAGATATCTGATTTAACATGGTGTAGAGGCCCATTTAGTTTGTCCAGGAGGCTTGATTAAGGCATTGACGCAAATGTCCAGGAAATTAAGCAATAGGGCAATAAGTGTGTGCGTGTATGGATGTGCAGCTACAGTAATTGTAGTCCAATGCCAGAAAGTAACTTGACAATGAGACCTGAAATGTGCAATTATTTTTCTCAGCCTGTTGCATCATCAGTTAATAACAAATTTGGCAGCATCATGACACCAACAATATCCCCCATTTTGTGCGATACTGGTAAGATAATGTAAATTACAGACCACTACAGCTCCAACAGACTGAAAGAGCCTGTGTTTGATGTGCAAACATCAAATCTCGTACCGCATTTAATCTGCATCACATCATCATTCACCTGATTCAATTTCACCCAAACCACAAACATGACCTCAAATCAATTAAAAGCAGCTTCTCACAGCTTCTTTATGGGAGGAGACCAAGCGGCAACCTTCCGGTCTCTCTCGTGAATTATCCAGGAGTGACGCGCGGTGACGCGCTGCCAAAATGGCGACAGCCGGCTCCGCCCACTTTGAGCTTCAAAACCACTCTTCAGAAACCTACTGGTGACGTCACGGACACTACGTGTTATATAATGTTTTTATACAGTCTATGGAAGAGACTCATCTTCAAAAGGAATGACAAAGGTGGTGTCTTTTTCCTTCATACTTTGTGGCAGTCAACATAAAAAGAAGCGTTATTAATATTAATGCACAGTATATGAAGAGAAAAAGGAAAGCTGAGAATGTGAACTTTTCTATAAGCGAGTAGAAAAAAGTTTCCCAATCTTTTTTGAAGGATAAGCTAATAACGTTGGTCAAATAAACAAATAAAATTAAAATATAAAAAATAAATAAATACTTCACTTGGACGTTGTGCTGTGCTCTGCTATTTTCTCTCTGTGGTTTTTATTTCATGGTAGAAAAAAAAAGAGGTAATTTAGAATTTGCTATGTCTCAAGAATGGCTGATGATTCAACTTGTAAGATCATAAGGCAGAGCTCACATTTAACTTGACCACAACAGAGAATAGCATTGATGCCCTCAGGCTAGCTGGTGGCTGTACTTATTGAATGCTCTGGGAAGAAACCAGTCATAGATTAGATGATCGACCATGCCAGGTTTCAGCAACCAATAATACACAGTAGGGAGGAATGGGCTAAGCACCAGAATATACCCATATGCCAGTGTTTCCCATCGACCCAGAGGGGGGTACGCAGCACTGTTTTGCTGTGGCATACGCTCCACTGAGGGGGTGCCAGGCACTGATGGTGGTTTGCCAGCATATTATAAGCTCCACTCATGTGGACCTGCAGAGCTGGACTGTTATAGAGGGGCAAGCTTCTATGTTAGCTGTCAATGGCTGCTACTGTTGATTTACTACTGTAGGTTTTTCATGAGCAAGAATTCTCTGGGGCTCATTAAACACACACACACACACACACAAACACTGATATTCCTATCATTATGGAGACATTTCATAGGTGTAATCGTTTTTATACTGTACATACTGTATTTTCTATTCCCAAACCTACTCCTCACAGAAAACTTCCTGCATTTTTAGATTTTCAAAACATTTAATTCTGTATGATATATAAGCTTGTTTCCTCATGGGGACCTAAAAAAATGTCCCCACAAGACCAACATTTACTGGTATTACTATACTTGTGGGGACTTTTGGACCAGTACACACGCACACACAGCACTCAGAAAGGATAACACCTGTCTTAATCTATATAGATGCTCAGGCAACTCTACGTTTCGTTTCTGCCAGCCTCACAAAAGCAGCTCATTGCTATCAAGAAGTTTTATTATCTTTCCTAATCATATAGTTACAGTATATGCTTAGAGATATAATAGTTACAGGGATGAGTAAATACTGTACAAAACAGCTGTTTTTGTTCTGCTCTCATACAGTACCATTGAGACCATAGACATACCATTGACTTCTGCTAAATAAAACAATGAGTTTTGTATGACAGACTTCAGTCCTTTAGGCATATATGATGATGCTGACATTTGTATTCTAAGAAAGAAGGCATTATGTGAATCACTGACTTGTTAACAGCTTTCATGATCTAAGCGCACACCTAGCGATATAAACGGCACACTTTTCCAAAGCCTCCTAATGTGTGTCACCCTGCCACCGGCTACATGCAAAATTTAATGGGTGGCAGTAGAGAAAATCACTAATGAACTGTATGTACAGCAGTGCCTGAGATCTTAATGTCTCATTAACTACTTCCCACCCAGCAAAACCTTGTTGAAAAGACGACAATGCCAGACGTCTAAACAACGTTAAAATTTGGTTGAAAAGTGAAAGGTGAAAAGACGTTTTTCAGGTCGTCGAAAAGACGTCTATAAAAAGATGTCCAAATTACGTCTAAATGTGGTTATAAAGTTGAAAAGACATATTTTCAGGCCTAATTACAACCGTGAATTAATTGATTATATTTATATTTCATATTCATAATTATTGTCAAAATAAGACAATTCACAAGAGTACCAAAACATTTATTGACACATTAAATACATCTTTCACATAAAAAAAAGAACACTGATCACATCTTAAGCCTACATTTGATCAAACATACCGTAAAAACAGTAATATTGTGAAATATAACTACAAAAATAATCATTTTCTATGTGAATGCATTGCAAAATGTAATTTATTCATGTGAACTGTATTTTCAGCATCATTACTCCAGTCTTCAGTGTCACATGATCCTTCAGAAATCATTCTAATATGCTGATTTGTTTTTGTGGAAACCATGATATTTTTCAGTATTCTTTGAATAGAACTTGCCAAACAGCAGTATTTATTTGAAACAGTTTTTTTTTACAATTTAAAAGTCTTTACTTGTAACTTTTCATCAAATGAATCCATCTTTTTTGTATAAACATCATTTTTCAAAATAATAAATCTTTAAAATATTGAAAATGTTTATAAAACAATGACCAATTATAACCACATTAGAACATATTTCACGCAAAAATGTAAATTCTGTCATTAATTACTTACCCTCATGACGCTCCAAACCCATAAGACCCTTTTGTGCAGAACACAAATGAAGATATTTTTAACAGATGCCTTGTGTACGCAAAAAACAGCAACAACAAAAATAGTATGTCTTTATTCACAAATTATGTATCTCCAACGCATTTTCACAAAAGCAGCATGAGATGGCCAGCTCTCATGCCAACGTAGCACTGATGCATCATGGTGCTGTCGTGAACATGTTATTTTGTAAATAAAAATGCAATGTTTTTTTGTGCACACAAAACATTCACATTACTTCATAAATGAATGATTAATAAATTAATAAACTGGAGTCACATGGATTACTTTAAGGATGTCTTTACTACCTTTCTGAGGCTTGAAAGTGGTAGTTGCATAAACTGTGAAATGGAGGGGCAGACATTTCTCAGATTTCATTAAAAATATTTACATTTATGTTTCAAAGATGAACAAAAGTCTTACAGGTTTGGAATGACATGAAGGTGAGTGATGAACATTTTTGGTTTAACTAACACATTAAATCGTTTCCCTCAGGGGCACCAGTAGATCTCTGCCTGATCTCTGATCTTCTGGTTCTTCTGCTCCTTCCACCATCCCAATCCTGGATTATTGAGCCACGACAGAAGTTTCCACTTTGAATGCTTTAGCCTGGCTGTTTTTTCTCCAGCATCTAAAGTGAGAAAGAAAACAATAACCAAAATGTAAATTTAAAAATAATAATAAAAAAAACAATGGTTGTCCAAAATGTAAAGTATACACTTGAGTTTTCCCTACTGTTAGGGCATTTCTACCTCAGGGCACAAAAGAGTGGGGACTTACAGGATAAGAACAATTTTCTAGAATTTTCAACAGTTTTTTGTCACTTCCTATACAGGGCTCCAGACTGCAACCAAATGGTCACATTTTGTGACAGTTTTTTTCTGCCGGTGCGACTACATTTTGTGAGCAATCACACTAGCACGACCACTACGTTGCCCCATCTCATAAGCGCTGCTATTTCTGTTGCATATGAGAAACATCAAACAGCAAGCAAAACAAAAGCTAGAGAAACCGCGCTACTCGTTTGAGCTGTGCAGTGCAGACCGTTTATCAGCTCGGATCAGCGCAGAGCAAACAAACTTCTCCGAGCTCAGAACAGGTTTACTCAGGAAGCAGTGTTGATTTCGCGACACTGTTACTGCACAGTGCTGCGAGATCCAGTGAGAAGCACTTGAATTTGCTGCAGAATGAATAAAGGTTGCTGTGAGCTCTAGTGAGAAGCATTCAAATTCTTCACATAAATCTGTTGTAAACAGGTCAAACAACGCTGACATATAACCAGAAGTAGTAACGCTAACTATAATTATGGTGTTGTGGCAGAAATAGTTGAATTTCATTACATTATGCATTTCAGGGTTTGTACAACCTTTTGAGAGAGAAATTCAAGCACTTTTAAGTATTTCACACAACTATTTACAGCACTTTAAAACTCTAGAAAGCATACAATTAAAATGTTATTTTTAAAGGGTTGACCAAAATATACTTTGTAGTAAACAAACACTTTTGTAAAATAAAAAAAAGGGGCATCAAATTACCACTATAACCAGTAGATGGCAGCAGATGAACACTTATAGGCTTATTAGTCATTCATTTCTACTTTTTACTTTATATTTTGAAATGATAAAATCACTATCATAAAATTTTAACTCAACAAGAAATCAATTTTTGTAAAAGTTTAGCTTTTTTTTGTGTATGAAGTAAGAAAAGTCACAAAGTGCCTTGAAAAACAAACTTCTCTGACTGAATCACACATAAAGCAAGAGAGCTCCTTTTATAATCACTGAAGTTGTTGGTCAGTTCCGTATAATACTACAGAAGAATAATGGTACATTTAATAAGAGTAGAATATGTTAATTTTCTATATAAAACTTACATTTTGCACGTTACTGTTGTTAATAAAAGTAAATTTTGTGCTTCCCAACTCAAGCTCAGTGTTTTACTGTCAAATGTGCATTACCAAGAAATAAATGTGTAATCTTACTAGTAAATACACTTATTAATGCAAAACTAAAATCATTTTATGATTTAATTATCTTTATTTTTAATACCGCCCACACACCACCCCCAGCGCTACCAAATCTGCTTCTGGTGCCACTGCTCTCAAAAGTTAGTCTGGAGCCCTACTATATATGCATTGCAAATGTGGTACAATTAAAATTACTATGCAAGTACTAAAAAAAGTCAGCTGCTGAAATGTTAAAAGGATCAGTGACTCTAAAACGGTTATAAAAACCAAACCAAATATAAATACTGAGAATGTATTTGACATTCCAAAAAATGAACTTACACAGCAAAAGATGCAGTGACCTGTGGCTGAATGGCCTTTGGTTTTATTTAGCTGTGATTGACACAAACAAAAGGGGGAAAAAAGATAATAGCGTCACTGAATATGAGTCAACTATTGCATATTTCTGTACAAATTAAAGTGTACTCGTTCTTCATGAGTGATTATTAACTAATCAGTATGTCAGGGGTTCTCAACTCTGGCCCTCAAGGTCCACTGTCATACAGAGGGTACGTCTCAATCAGCTCCATAGTTCGCTAGGTTGTGAATTAATATATTGTGTACACAAATTCAGGCACTGGTAAGGACAGTGGCTTACTACACACTGGTGACTATTTCCGTCCTCCTTGTACAACATCACGACTGGCATTTATGCACAACAGTAAAACTGATATCTTTTTTTAATGCTATTTACAGCACATTATGATAAATACTTTGTTACATGTATGTGCAAGATTTCAGTCATAAATAAATATTTGCTAGATTAGACATTACCTGTTTAGTGATGTATATTTATGCTGAAATATAATATTGGTTTGTGTTTTAAAATCTATCACATGTCATTTTGTAGCGAATTATCTCTTAAGTTTTGTGCTTCAGAACTTCATATAAGGTTCAGGTGCACTGCACTAGGTTGGAGCAAAACTCTGCATGTAAGTGGACCTTGAGAGACAATGTTGAGATCTCCTGCAATATATTCTGAACATGACAATACATGAGAGGTAGGATGACTGCTAGATTGATGACTTACAACACTGGTGTCCAGTCCTGGGCATGGAGGACCAACGTTCTGCAGAGTTTCTGGTGATCCTTGATCAGCTGCTCAGGTCTGCTTAATTGGGGTTGGAGCTAAACTCTAAAAAAAAAGAGAAAGAAGACAACCAATATTATGATGTTAAAAAGTTAAACAAAGTTAAAGTTAAACATTTTGATTCATAAATATGCACAACATCTGAAAATGCACAAAGATGAGAACTTTCAACCCACTGAAAAATAAGAAGCAGCATTAAGTCACAGATGCATTTTCATTTATTCTTGTTATTCTTATGTCACTTTGTCGCATCCAGTGTAGACACGGTGTGAGAGTGTGTAGCTTGGAGATAGAGAATGGGAATCTACGTCACTGTGCATTGCATTCTGGGTATACAATACAAATCACCAGAGGAAAAAATTACTATTTATGTTAATATTTTTAAGAGCTTCTTGGATTTTATTAGAATAAATGGATTAATATTCGAATCCCTTGTGTTATTTAAGTTTGTGGTCAGTTTTTTATAAGTTTGAAATAAGTCTCTTATGTTCACCAAGAAAACTGCATTTATTTGATCATAAATAAAAACAGTAATGTTGTGAAATATTATTATTTAAAATAACTGTTTTCTATGTGAATATATTGTAAAATGTAATTTATTCTTGTTTTCGCAAAGCATGATTTCTGAAGGATCATGTGACAAGGGGGGCAAGAAAAAAGAATGGGAATATATATATATATACAGTACATGAAATAAATAAATAAAAGCAAAATATTTTTTTTCTGATGTAAGCATCAAAACAATGCCCTACCGTATTGCAACGCATCAAAGCAGTCACTCTAACACAGTCAAGAATAACTTAAAGAGGTTGCCTCCATTTAGTAAACGGTGGACTAGCTTTCAAAAGGGTCTGGCTGCAGACTTGCACTTGCACTCTCAGACTTGCACTCTCAGACTTGCACTCTCAGACACTTGGCTTCCACTAGCGACGTCACTTGCAGTTTTATTTTTTTTATTTTGTTCTATTTATTTATTCTTTTTGTTTGAATCTCTCAACATTTTACAACAGTAGCCAGGTGGTGAAGACAAGACAAAATAAACTAAATTACGAAGTCACTTGCAATCGCCACTTGCACTCTCCAATACCTGCGACATCTCTTGCAATCGACACAAATTGCGCGTGTTGCCAATGGAGACAAGAAGCTGTGGTGGTGATTAAACGATTAAAACTAAATTAGTACTATAACATACAGGGTCCTGCAAGAAAAAGACAAGACCTTACTATAACATATGGGTTTCTGCGATAGAAAGATAAGACCCGCAAATCCGTGGCCACAGAACAGCAGAATATGAACGCAATGCGCAAAGTCTCTCGCTAAGCGTCTTCCTACTGTAAAAAAACATAAACACTTAACATGGCTTAATGTATTAAGATGCTATTAAAATATCAAATTCAATATACAGTTTATTAATATAATGAATATGTATATAGAAGTTGATTTCAAGTTGAGGGTTTTGCCATATAGAATAAACTGTCTACAGCTCTTTTATATCATTGTCTTTGTCAAATTCTGAATGGATTATACCCTAGAAAGTGTGCAAAGTGCGCGCTCCCTTTATCACTAAAAAGCGTCACTCATCTTCGTTCATCGCGATCTTACAAAATTCCGTTATAATCAATGAAGCTTTCTAAACTGCACAATGAATCTCTTATTTACATCGCGTCTGCACTTAGTCATGAGATGATTCACGAGCGTGCAAAGCTGCACTTAAAAACTGTGGCGCTTTCAGCGGTGAGTGAATTCTGACAAAAACGTTTCTGATTGGCCATTGCATTCAAGAAATCAACAGATATTTATGTTGCAATTGCCCCCCCAATGTCGCCCATGGTGGTGAGCATAAAAGACTTCTTTCAAATACATGACAAATCTGACCCTTAAACTTTAGGTAGTGAATGTTTGAGGTATTACTTACTAGTCATATGGTTCATAATGTCTAGATATGTTCTTCAACAGGAGATACGCTCCAACTCTAGTGCACGGCCATCAGCATGGAAGTATCTAGGAACATAAACAACCTGAAACAATCACAGAGTCAACAATATTTATTATATAATGCCAGGTTTATTATAAATAAACTATAGCAGAGGAGAAATGCAGAAAAGAAAAATAATAATTTACAGAACATACAAAAAAATGATTTAATAACAGAATGTAAATAGAAAATTACAGATGCATGGTGATATAGGCAAAATATATTGTGAAAGATGCATATAAAGTTATTTAATAAGCTTTCTCAGATCACCTGTGTTTTCTATATCTCTGTCAGCAGCTCTCTTCAGAAATGTTACAATCAGGAACTTCTCCTGTGTTGTAGAGGGGTTTTTTTTCTGACGCTTCTGAAATCACAGAACAAGTGGTATCAATATGTGTTTACCATGAAAGATCAAAACCTGTTTTAAAGAGGTCATATGACGTTGCTAAAAATAACATTATTTGGTGTAATTCAATGTGTTTATGCGGTTTAAGGTTAAAAAAACACATTATTTTCCACATAATGTACATTATTGTTGCTCCTCTATGCATATACATTGAACAAAATTATAAACGCAACACTTGTTTTTGCCCCCATTTTTCATGAGCTGAACTTAAAGATCTAAGACTTTTTCTATGTACACAAATGGCCTATTTCTCTCAAATATTGTTCACAAATCTGTCTAAATCTGTGTTAGTGAGCACTTCTCCTTTGCCGAGATAATCCATCCACCTCACAGGTGTGGCATATCAAGATGCTGATTAGACAGCATGATTATTGCACAGGTGTGCCTTAGGCTCACATTTTAGAGTGGCCTTTTATTGTGGGCAGCTTAAGGCACACCTGTGCAATAATCATGTTGTCTAATCAGCATCTTGATATGCCTCACCTGTGAGGTGGATGGATTATCTTGGCAAAGGAGAAGTGCTCACTAACACAGATTTAGACAGATTTGTGAACAATATTTGAGAGAAATAGGCCTTTTGTGTACATAGAAAAAGTCTTAGATCTTTGAGTTCAGCTCATGAAAAATGGGGGCAAAAACAAAAGTGTTGCGTTTATAATTTTGTTCAGTGTGTAAAAAACGCTCATCTACACATAAGATGACATTAAAAGCTCAAACTTTCAGAAACAAGAGCTCAAGTCTATAGTTAACCTAACGTTACCTCTTATAGTTAGCCTTATGGTTGAGATGCTAACAGACTTTTTCCGAAGACACTAAATCATTTCTATAAAGTAAATATTCAATGGAAGCGTGTCATTTACATGAAAGAAAGTGTCAGGAACGCTTGTATGTACTATTTGTGTAATTTCAGAGACTAAACTTACCTGAAATTAGTGAAAACAACAGTGAGAGACGGAGTTGCTGCTTGACAGATGAGCTGGCGCCCCGTTTCCATGGTGACTTCCTCCGCTCCAGTTTAGCGCGCGCGCCCATTAAAGCACGTAGAAGTCACGCAGAATTTACGTAAATATCATATCATATCATATATCATATCATATCATATAATAGCTTTAGAAATGGTAAACGTGGTGTAGAAATAACATTGAAAAAACATTGATTAAAAAGTAAGGCATATATATAGGAATATATTTTTTCGTACACATATTTACACATGTATCATGAGGAACAATTTTGAAGCTTTATGTTTTATGTATTTTTAAAATGTATTTTGAAAATATATTTAACGGTGCTACATTCCTGTATGGGTGTAATTAATGTGAATTTATTAATACGGCTAGGCTATATAAATGCTGTGGTTTATTATGGTGTTTGAACTACTGCGATGTTTAATATGTTTTTATGGATGCATTATAGGCATATTAAATAAATGATTGTTAATAGGTGTACTACACAGCACAAGCATTTTCAACGAGATATAACCCACTAGGGGCAATTTCTGCCATGCCAAATATACAGTATATTTACATATGGTTTGCGAATGTAAGTTCTTAATAACAAATAATCTATGGGATGCGCAGGTTGTGCGGTGACACATAACTTGAAACTATTCCTACAATCTATTTCTTCACTTGCTACATTTATGTTCATGGCTATATTAGAGCTATTTGTGGTCCGAAATGCAAAATTTTGACTAAATTAGATGGACCAAACAAAGCCCAGTTTTCAACGTCGATTTTTGGGCTAAATTTGGACCAAATCCGGCAGACCAAACAAAGGCCAATTTTCAACATCGATTTTTGGGCTAAATTTAGACCAAATCTGACGGACCAAACAAAGACCAATTTTAAACGGGCTAAAAGAAGTCCATGACGGGCCGACTTGATTTAGCCCAAAAAACGACATCCAAATGACGTGTGGTGCTGGGTGGGTTGTACATGCCACGTTTCAACCTGTCTCACTCAGAAGACATCATAAACTGAAGAAAGCGTCTTGCTTGTCCCTATTAAGATGCTAAAGGTTCCATATCAGTTACAAAATATTATTACTTATCTATTTGATTGCATCATATAATAATTGCTGTTAATAGTGTTCATCGTCTGTTTGATTACGTCTTTAATTGATTACGTCTTTAATTGATTTTTCCGTAAATGTCTGCCATATGTACATTAACTGACAGTCACCACTGATAAGCTACCACAAAATATTGTAGAAACTTAATTTGCAGTATAGTTGCTTTGCAACAATTTGTATTGTGAAAAGCGCTATACAAATAAACTTGAATTGAATTTAATTAAATGTAACCCTAGGCATCACTTTTTCAACAAACTAGGAACTCTGTTGTTTCAATGGGAAATAAATGGCTTCAATGCACAGATGCAAAGAGCATGGGAATTTTATTTTCATGAAATTGGGGTATAAATTTGTCATTATGACACATATGTTGGGGCATTTTTAATCTGAATAGCCACAATAATTTCATTTACATTACACTATTTAGAAAGTTTTGAACACAAACCCTTACCCCTAAACAAAATTTTAAATATAAATCCATTTAAAACACAGAATATAGCAGGCAAATACAAGTACAGTCACAATTTTTTTCCCTCAAAAAATACAAATATTCCGAGGCCAAACGGTTGCTTTGTTTGGGGAATAGACCCAAACATAATTTGCTCTCCCTCAAGTTGTATAAATTTATTTCTTCTGCACATTTGCAGTTGCTGGACCATATGAATATTAATAAATAAATAAATAATACTATGGAAGTCAGTGTGGACCAGCCAGGCGCGCCGTTGACACGGGGGGGCCATGACGATTTCCTTTGTTCTCGCACTAAACGGGATTAATACTTTTGCCTGGCTCCGCTTCGCGAGCCTCCGCTGACTGCGCACGCACCTTCCCAAACGGACGAGGCTTTTATACTTGTCGCGTTCGCCGTAGTACTAATCTTTGAAACGACAGGGGGCAACGAGGAGTAATTGTCCTTTAAAACCATCGGGAATCACTGGTGAGAAGTCGTGTCTTTTACATTTATTTTGAAAGATGAAGCTCGCGATTATGGTAAGGGGTAATCTTACCATAATTACCCCTTTCCGACGAGTTTACATTTCCGATGAGTGCTGGCGGTATTCGGCCAATCACAATGCACTGGGTCAGCTGGCCAATCAGAGCAGACTGCGCTTGTTGGAAGGAGGGACTTTGTAGAAAATGAAGCGTTTGAGAGAGGCGGGGCATAGAGGACCTACAATAATGTACAGTATTTGAAAAATAATGTGTTTTTTGAACATTAAAGCATGTCAACATATTCTGTTACACCAAATACACAAAATAATGATCTTTAAAAAAGCATCATATGACCCCTTTAAAGCATCAAAAAGCACCTAATGGAGTTTGAACTTCACATCAAACTGCTTCAGTTTCACACAAACGGCGACACAGACGAGCATGTTTGGCTAGAGTCGCCCTGAACTCGTGCATCTTCGGAAGCGGAGCCGCGCGGAAAGTTACAAAAAATGCCGTGCACACCGCCACGCGAAATTAGTTGGCGCGCACTCAAAGCGAACTTCCTCCAACACCGCGATGACGTCATATTTGCCGCGCGCACCCAAGCGAACTTGCGGACGCGTCGAGTATTTCAGGCTGTATACTTTCCGCGTGCGTGAGTCCGCTAGGGTCCGCTATGGTATGCGTGACGTAAAAAAATCGTCATCGGAGAGTGTGCGCGGAGGCTCTGCGCGGACATCCGCGTGCCTCCCATTTTTTGTGACCGCGCGTACTTGTCCTGCAAAAGCACCAACTGTGCATGCGCAGGCTGTGTGAAGAAGCCCGTTGCTACTCAAACCATATAAAGACAGCCAGATGTGCAATAACTCTGGGCAATTGTTTGTTCACATGTTTGTTTACTGTTCAAGCCAATCTACTGTGCATGTATGGAGCACGTCCGCGCAGCGGACCATCAGCGTTTGCTTTCGGTAGTATACATACATTCGTTGCAATTGCGAATCTCTCCTCGCTCAAAGTGTGTGCGCGCTCAAACTGCGTCCTGTGCACTCACAAATTTGTGCTCTTGCAATATAGAAATTCATTCTTTTCGCACCTGGACTAAAAGTTGTCAAAAGTTATCAACCAATCAGACTTCCACGACTGACTGATGAAAATGCTACGTGAAATCTAATTGGCTGAGAGGGAACTGCACCTGGAATTCTTTTGACAATCAAAGATGGATCTGCAATTTCCTTACAATTTAATAATATTTAGTCATATTAATCAAAATGTATATTAGAAATGGCTGGGATTGGGGTGCTTGGATGATTTGTACAAATAACCTTGTCTATCTGACTGGTTGGTCAAACCCCTCTGAGCGATTTATCTAAAAACTAGCCTATATGGCTCTTAAGACACACTACATATAAAATATCAATACTATGTCATATTATGTCAGATACCTCAACTGAATTTAAAATCAGTGCAATGAATTCTCAATCTGTACAATGATGCCAATAATAAGTAACAATTATAATATTTCCTATCAAATCAACATCAAATGCTAAATGTAAATGATGCACAAGATATAACACTATAAATGCTGTGATAGAATCGCTGTTTGGACATTTATTGCCCATACAGAAAGGTAATATATTCACATATATGTGAAACACTGTTAAAGGCACAATATGTAAGATTTTTTTTATTAAAATATCCAAAAACCACTAGAACAGTGTTATATATTTTGCTGACTTGTGTACTTACATTATCCCAAATGTTTTGAACAATGTTTAAATCCAGAGAAATAAGCTATTTTAACTAGTGACACGGACCGTGTCTATAGTGTCATTGTGTCGCCTGCCAATGACGTCATAACCCCTCAATTTCCG